CCCCGCCCCGCCCCGCCCCCGCCGAGGCGCTGACTGGTGCCCCGCGCCCACCTGCCGCAGCCCACCTGCAGCAGCATCTGCGCCGTCTCCTGCTCACTCAGCAGACACAGGTGCGGGTAAAGCGTGGGGCGGCCTTCGCGGGCCCTGCGCGCCAGCTCAGCCTTGATTTCCTGCAGCTCGTGGCACAGCGCCGCCTCCCACTGGTCCCGCAGGCTCCTCAGGGTCTCCCGCTGCGGGATGGAGTTCGCTCGTTACCACCTTGCCTGTACATCCCCGGGGATGGGACTGCAACTCACAAAGGGGGAATTCGGGCACACCCTCGCCCCTCCAGTCTCAGAGGGCATCCCTGTGGATGTACCCAGCGCCTTGCCCAAGGGGGTGGCCTCGTGGGCGCCCTTGGCAACGGTCTGGGAGCTTTCCCAGGCAGCTCCCACGTGATCCCCTCCTCACCCCCTGACGTCAGCAGGCGAATGGGCGTGTCCGGGCCATGGGGGGGTGGTGGAGGGCGGAGCCGGCCGGGAGGGGCACGGGAGCAAGCCCACCTGCCCCGGGACCCCATGAGCCCCCCCCCTAGACCCGCCCTGTGGACCACCCACGCAGACCAGAGAAGGGCCCATCCACCCAGCAGGCGAAGGCCCAGGCTCAGCCGGCCCGGCTCCTCACCGCATGCAGAACCTCGCTGGTCAGCGGGGGGGCCTTCTCCACGGACTTGACCTGGACGGTGGTGGCCAGCTCGACGCGCAGCTGCTGCTGGAAGAGGTCCTCCAGCGTCTTCAGCGGCAGATGCAGCTTCGGGTAGGACACGGGGCCGCCCTGGGGGCGGGGAGGGGGCGTGAGCACCTGACCCCGCCCCTCCACCCTGGGTCGTGGTCCGTGAAGGTACCTCTAGACCACCTAGGGCTTCAGGAGAGCAGCCTCCACCAGGACCCTCCCCCCGCCACCAGCAGAACCACATCCCTTTCTGCCAGTCTTCTGGCACCATCACTGCTGAGATCAGGAGAAGGCAGGTGTGGGGCAGAACAAAGGAGCCACCTCTGGGGCAGGAAGAAAGGCATTTTCCCCGCCTGGCCTCAGTCCCTTGGGGAAGGGCACAGGCATCGAAGGGCACACATTCACCGGGGCCGCAAGCACAGGGGGCCATCCACAGCGTGCCCAGATGTTTGCTTCCTTTTTAAACTTGGAACTGGGTGAGCGTGTGACCATCCAAAAATAAACAAGTTAAAAATAGAGGCTAAAGCCCAACGCACTAAGGCAGGCATAAGGTCCACACAGAAACACACGCGCATGTTCACGGCAGCTCTAGTCACAGGAGGGGGTGGATTAGCCAATAGACAAGGTAAGCACGGTGCTTACCTTGCTTACCAGATCGTCTGTAGTGAACAATTTCACATTTTTTTCACCACATCAGAGATTCTTCTTCTAGGTACGGCTGGCATCTGTCTCTTTCCCAACCCCACAGCCCCTTCCTACAGAATCAGTCTCTTCAAATTTACAGTCCCTGACGGATGGATTACCCGGTGAGCAAGGCAAACACCGGTTTACTCTGCAGTAACAACGGATTAGAAACTAAACACAAGTAAACCCGTGCTTACCTTGCTCACTGGGTATTCGTCCCTGATCACAGGACCATAAAAGGGAAACAACCCACGTGTCCATCCGCAGATGACGGATGGACGCAATGTAGTCCATCCACACAACAGAGTATTATTCAGCTACAAGCAGGAATGAAGCTGATACGTGTTACAACGTGGATGACCTTGGAAACCGTGTGCTCAGTGCGAGAAGCCAGACCAAAACAATCCCGTTTATATGAAGTATCCAGAAGACGCAGATGCAAAGAGACAGCAAGTAACTCAGCGGTTGTCAGGCGCTGGAGAGGGGGAATGCAGAGTGACTGCTAATGAACGCGGGTTCCCCTGGGGGAGACAGAATGTTCTGGAACCAGGCAGAGGTGATGGCTGCACAGCTCGGTGAATACACTGAAAACCTCCGAGCTGTTCACTTTCAATAACTGATGGGTATGGTGTGTGAATTACATCTCAATAAAATCAAACAAAACCCACCACACACCTCCCCTCTACCCCCTGCCCTGGGACTGAGTGCTGGGCTCTCATCTTCCAGCCCGCAGGCTTTTGACTCCTTTTCTAATCTTCCGGCACCTTCCACTTGACCATAAGTCGGGGCACTTTTATACCCCAGCTGGGGCCAGGCACGTCCCCAAACCTTGGTGTGTTTTACCCTTCACGGAGCAGGAAGGGAGAGACCCAAAACCTGTTTAATAGCTGGGAGAGTGGAGGACAGGGCCTGGGCTCCCGGGAGACCCCTCAGATGTAGGGAGGGGGCAGAGACCCTGGGCCGGACGGCACTCGCCATACGAGCTTAGACAGGGGCATCATGGTCTGGGCCTGTGCACAGTGCCAGGTGGGGCCTGGGCTCACCTGGGCATAGATGTCCTTGAGCAGCGGCGAGGTGTTGACCCGGGGCGTGGGCCGTGGCGGCGGGCTGAAGGCAGGCTTGACCTTCCGCACGGCTGTCAGGAGCGCAGCCCGCTCCTCCTCGGACATGGGCACGGCCAAGAAGAGCTTCTGCACCTGCAGCCGGTCCCTGGCCATCTGCTCCAGACACCTAGTAGGGCAGCACACGAGCGGCCCGTCACCTACAGAAGCGGACCCACCCGAAGGACAAGGGCAGCCTGACCCCGGCTTCTACCTGAGCCGACGGGGCTCCATTGCTCCTGCACCTGCCCCATCACAGCCCACGACACCCTCCAATGGCCACCCCTTCATCCCAGTACCCACCAGGCACAGGCTCCATCCAGGCCGGCCCCCAGACCTCTCTGCCCCCGACCCCCGTCTCCTCCTGTTCAGAGCTGCAGTTATGGGGCAGAACAATCACCCACCCACTCTCTGAGCTCAGTCCCTGTTGGCCCCATTTCACAGAAGAGATAGTTGAGACTCCAGGCTGGGGGCTGGGCTGCATACAGCGATACTAGCCCAGCCTCCTCCGGGGACGCCCAGCCCCCACGTCAGCCAGAGAGATCCTCCTGCGTGGCGGGAAGACCTGGAGGCAGAGCTGCAGCTGGGTTGTCCCTGCCATGTCCCCAGTGACCACACATGCCCTGGGGTGGGGGCTGAGGGGCTGCCCCAACACCCACCTACCTTTTGATGGTGCTGGCATCCTGGTCCAGCCGCCCCATGCACTGGAGAGCAGCCGCGTAGGACAGCAGGTCGGGGGCAAGGCCAGCGTCCTTCACCATGAAGAACACGTAGACCAGCTCCTTGAAGGAGCCCTGGGGAGACAAGTGAGGGTGAGGGTCTCTCCCTCCCTGCTGCTCCCTCCAGACTCTCCCTGGTCAGTAGCCAATGAATCAGGAGGCAAAGGGTCACTAGTAGGACTGGTGAACTGAACCGACACAGGTATGAGCACCAGCGCGGTGGCCAAAGCTGCAGGTGGGATCGTGGGGGGAGTTTATGTCAATGTATTTATTAATTTTTTTTTATGGCTACAAATGTGCATGATTTCAGGGCTGCTAAAAATAAGAGTCCCTTCATTGTCAGCTGAGCTCACGGTTTTTTCTTTTTTTTTCAATATCTTCAAAGAACCAACTTTTCATTTCGTTGATTTTCTCTCGTCTTGTTTTCACTCATTTCTGTTTTGATCTTTCCTCTGTTTGCTCTGAGTTTACTTTCATCTTCTTTTGCTAGTTTCTTAGCGTGGGGGGTCATGTTAATGATTTGAGATCTTCTTTTTTAATTGCCTATTTATGGCTATAAATTTACCTCTGAGTGTTGCTTTAGCTACATCCCATAAGTTTAGGCACGTTGTGTATTTGTTTTCATTCATCTCAGAATGTTTTCTAATTTCTTTTGCAGTTTCTTCTTTGAGCTATTGGTTGTTTAGGGGAGTGTTGATTACAGACCTCTTTTCAAAGGGAAAAACAAAGTTCCCCAACATCCACCCACTCCATGGTCCAGCACCCCTAGAGAAGTCTATAAGAAATTTAAAAAAGTGTTTTCATATTGAAGATGAAATTACTTTAAGAAGGTAGGACAGACAAACACACTATGGATCAGTGCCATCCAAAAAAACGTTCTGCTACAGTGGAGATGTTCTGTATCTGCACGTCCAGTATAGCACCACCAGCCACATATGCTTGAACGACAGCTGGTGTGATTGGGCGATGGAATATTTCATTTTAATTTAAACCAAATGACCTATGTGGTTAGTGACTGTCACACTGGGCAAACCAGCTAAGATCATCCAGATGATCACTCAAAACCAGTCTTGTCGGCGCTGTGGTCACTACAGTGACAGGAGTTCTCAAACTAGAACTGCAGAAGCATGGGGTGGGAGGACTTTGGGGATTTTTTTCCCCTTTGAAAGACATGTGAACCACAAGAGGAAATAGAAAATACTTTGCAATGAATGAAAACAGAAACATAACAAAATTTACGGGATGCAGCTAAAGCAGTGCTCAGAGGAAAATTTATAGCTATAAACACCTACATTAAAAAAGAATCCCAGACTAATGACTTAACCTTCCACCTTAGGAAACCAGAAAAAGAAGAGCAAACTAAGCCCAAAGCATTAAAATCATTAGTCTGAGGAGGGGTCTGTAGGCTGCCCCAGATGCCAAAAGGGCCTCTTGCACTAGACAGGTTAGGAAACCCTGAACAGAAGAAAATGTGCTAGAATGTTAGCCAGCATTTCTTCCTTTTTTGTTCCATTTTCAAATTTCCTGTGACAGCCATGTGTAGTTTATATTTGAAAGATCTTAAAATATTATTAAAACAATAACATACAAAGCTCTTGAACTTTAGAGCTAAGAAAGGCAAGGGTCAAATCTGAGTGTTCCCCACTGGTGACTGGAAGACAGTGGGCAAGTCCCTCCCCGTCCTTGGGCCTCAACTTCCACCCCTAACAAACGAGGTGGATCCTGCAGGAGAACCTTCCTCCCTGTGCCCAGTCCCCCGGCCACTGCTCACCTTGCGGGCCCAGCCAAGCATGACGGTATTGTACATGGCAAGCGTGAGCAGCCACCGCCGCCGGAAGTTGCCATGCTGGGTGACTAGCACATGGTGGGCAAGGGGCAGGTGGTCTGTAAGCAGGCAGCACTCAAAGAAGGCCAGGAGCTTCTGCCGCTGGCCTGAGAGCTGTGCCTCGGCCCCCCTGTCGGCTGGGGCCTGCACCTCTTCACAGCTCAGCTTCTGTGGGGCCTCCTGCAACACCTGTGCCAGCTGCTCCTCCCAAGGGCTGGCAGGACTCCCTCGTGCCCACCGCTGCAGGCAGCCAGCCAGCTGCCCGTTCTTTAGCCGCGGCTCCACGCGCAGCGGCCTCGGCTGCTGCTCCCGGGGCGGCTTCTGTGAGTGGGCCTGCAGCTTCACCTCCAGTCGCTGCTTTCGCTTCTGCATGATCCGCTTCTCCTTGTCCAGTTTCTCCGCCCAGCGGCCGCGGAGCTCCAGGGCAGCCCCCGCCTCAGCCTTCCTGGATAGCTGGAAGCTGCTGCCGCTGCCCTCTGGGATCTGAGCCATGTCCACCCTCTTCACCGTCACCTCTGACACAGACTCCCCCTGCAGCTGCCGCACCCGCGCCTCGAGAACTGTGTGGGGAAGCAAAGCAGGAGGATGTCAGAGGGACCCCCATTCAAGTTCACGCCACCCTGGAGCCTCCACCTGTGCCAGTAGGGGCCTATCTCCCCTGGTCTCGAAGGTCTAATTCCACGTATCTGCTGACAGCTCCTTAATGTCCATCTTCCCCGACCCCAGACACACACGCCCACTGTCCACTCAGCACTCCTCCACGTCCCAGACACGCTCCTAGTACCCCCAAGCCTGCCCGTCCGTTCTCACAGGTGCTCAAGGCAAGAACCCCGGGGCGTCACAACCCCCTCCCCACCCCTTCATCAAACCCCTCAGCACATCCTCAGGGCTCTGCCTTCAAAACCTGTCTAGAAGCCATCTGTCTGTCCCTCCACAGCCCCGACCTGGCCCAGCCCACCACCCCCTGGACCAGTGCAATGGCCTTGGCCCCAGTGGCCGGCGCTGCCACGGTCTGTTCTCTCTGTGGCCACCAGAGGGTGCCCACGAGCACCAAGTCGGCCCCTCCCTGCTCCGCTCGCTGCCCTCTGAGGACTCCCACGACCCTCAGGTTAAAGCCCAGTCCTCCCTGCCCACAGGGCCCTGCCCTCCCCTCCTCCTCTCTCCCCCCATTCATTGCAGCAGCCATAACGGCCTCTTCATTGTTCCCCCAACTCACCAGGCATGGTCCTGCCTCAGGGCCTTTGCACGTGCTGTTCCCACTGCCCGGAATGCACTAACCCTGACACCATCCAGGCCTGCGCTGAACCCACCTACTCACAACCTCAACAGCCCCCGACAGTTCACAGTTCACTTTCCTAGCACACCCACCACCTCATGAATGTCTGCCTCCTGACCTGCCTCCATCACTAGAGGGACTTTAGCCAGCTTTGTTCATGACTGGGTCCCAGCACCCCACACAGGGCTGGCACCCAAACGCCAGGGATCTGGGGACCACGAGGGACTGGGCTGTTCTTCCCAAGTTACCAAGACGGGAAGGAGTGGAGGCTGGATTCCATCGGCACCCAGCCCCAGAGAACGAAGACAGGGTATCAGTCAAATCAGGGTTCAAATCCTGGCTCTGCCACCGGTGACCCTGTGTGGCCACACCTTCGGGGCTCAACTCTGGCTGCAGGGTTTCCGGCAGGAGGGGATTCAAAGGGCTCACATGGGCACACACAGCCTGGGTCAGAAAGCTGCAAAGGCGCCTGTCACAGCCACGGCAATGGTGTTTACTGATCTCGCCAAACCATGCCACCTGCTCCGCTCTGCTTTCTCAGTGGCCCCTGGGGACCCCCTCCCAAGAGGTAGGTACCACTACTACCCTTAGAGTGAGCCTCAGTTTATTCCTCGTGCAGCGGGAGGCCATCCCCTTCTTGTGGGTGTGACCTGGGGGAAAGGCTGACAGCCGTCATGTTGAAGAAGGGGCTCATAGCCCCAAGCCGGGGGTCCCGGGCTCACCTTCCAGCAGCTCCGCATGGCCCCAGTCCTTCCGGCGGTCTCGCTCACAAGGGCTGGCGGACGAGCTCCTTCTGCGGCCCCAGATGCCATCAAGGGCCCCCGCCCCTGCGGGAGAGACAACAGGGGGTGAGTCCTCATGTGGATGGAGATCGCGGGGTTGGACACTGTCAGCGGGGCCTCATATTGGAAAGAAACCAAGAGGCCAAAGGTGAAAGGGGCCCCAAACGCTAAGATCAAGGATAGAGGGTTTCCTGAACTTAAAGGTCCAGAGGGTTCAAAGATCAAACCCGTTGCTGTCCAGTCCATTCTGACTCATAGCCACCCTACAGGACAGAGAACTGCCCCACAGTGTTTCCAAGGCTCTATCTTCACGGAAGCAGACTGCCAGATCTTTCTCGCGCGGAGCGGCTGGTGGGTTCGAACTGCCGACCTTTGGATTCGCAGCTGAGCGTTTAACCACTGCCACAGATCAAGCGTCCCTAAATCCCAACTGATGGGGTCAGAGTTCTCCAAAAGAAACCGAGTCTAAAGGCCCTGCTGACCCCGTGAACGGAGCGGGGCGAAGGCTAGTGACACGCGGGGTCGCGTGTCGGTGGGTTTCCCAGAACCCCACCAGGCAAAGGGCAAAGGTGGGGGTAGCTGGATCCCGGGGTCCCAAAAGGTCAAAGGCCACCCCCGCTGGACTAGCGTGGCAAAGGCGCGGCGGCGTCCCCGGGCCACCGGGCCTCCCCCGTGTTACCTTCCTCGGCCAGGAGGCGACGGCGGCCGGCGGGCACCAGGGCCCGCCCGAGCCCGGCCGCACCGCAGCCCCAGCGCAGCGCCGACATGCCTCACGAGGCCCCGGCCCGCCACCCTGGGCCTGCGCATGCGCCTCCGCGGTGCCTGCCGGGAGTTGTAGTCCCACGGCCCCAGCCGGAAATTCGCCACAGGAACGACAACTCCCAGAGGGCAGCGGGGCTCCGGAGGCGCGAGGGCATGAGACGGCAGAACGCTCTGATTGGCTCTTCCCTTGGTTCTCAACATGGGGCTGGGGGAGCCCTAGCCTTAGCAACAAGGGGCGACTCCAGTCTAGGGAAGACCCCGGAACTTGGATTTTTTTTATTTAAAGGGCTAGTCAGCTAATAATTAGGACAGCGTTCTGCGATTTAGACATTCCCGTCTGCAATTTTCATTGGTCCAGCGACAACTTTGGAGTGGGAATTATTACTAACCCCAGTTTATTGTGGAGAAGCTGAGGCTCAAAGAGGTCAACCAACTTGTCCAAAGACACACAGCGTGGACATTAGGGATACGGGGCTGCCCGGCTCTCAGCCCATTTGCTTCGTCCACTCTCTCTGGCCTCGGTTTACCTACTAACGCCTCAGCCTCCAAGGACAAGGGGTGGGCAGTGGAACAGGAAGAGTGGATTAACGTCCTGGGTGTCTCTTCTGCTTAATGGGAATGAGAACAAAAGCAATGAGACAGTACTGGAGCCTGGAGCATCCCAGCCCTGGCCTCCAGGGTGATCCCAGATCTCAGACTAGCAAAGGCTTCAGCTCAGGAGTGGAAGGGCCGGAGTTTAAAACCAGACCAGAAAGGCGCGGCAACCAACCATTTAGTCAGGGAAACTGAGGCACAGAAAGGGGAGTGCCTGGTCCAGAACAGCTGGCATGTGGAGGATGAGAAGGAGCCCTGGGAATATCTGGGGGAACTGCGTTCCAGGTGGGGAAGACAGCAACTGCAAAGGCCCTGAGGCAGGAAGGGACATGGATAATTGGAGGAACTCCAGCAGAGTCGGGGTGAGGGGAAAGAACAGAGACTGGAGGGCTGCGCAGAGGCCAGACCAAGAGGCCTTAGGGGTCTCAGTTCGGGCTACCACCTGCCTGCAGATGCTCAGACCTGGGTTTCTCCATTAGTCCACATTCGAGGGCAGACCTGAGCTCAGGGAGGTTCTGGACTCCTACTGACATTCCAGACACAGCCGCCCCTGCAGGCCTGGGTGACATGAGGCCACCGCCCAGGAAAGTTTTCGACAGACAGCAGGTTCTCCTTAGCCAGCCTAGCCCACCCCAAGGTGCCCCAGGGGGCGGTAACCTCAGACCCAACTGGGACCTGGGGTTGCCCTCCTGGCCCTGGGGGGCTGAATCATCCTCACCTGGTTCCCCAAGACCTAGAGACACCCTCTTGCCCCCCTACAGCCTGGCAGAGCCAACAACTGGGGCTGGAAGTCATGACTTCTGAATTCTCTCACCTTTCCTTAAGCCACAGCAGTTTCCTCATCTACGCACTGGGACGAGCCCCCCACCCCCCACCCCCACCCCACCAGTATTTCCCTAGAGCGGGGTCCCTGAATCCCAGCAGTGAGGATGTCGTTCTTCTTGCGGATCTCATTCGAACATACTGCTGAGCAGTCTCTAGGGAGCCTCAGTCAGGTGCTCACCCGTCTGTAATGCTCACTTCAGCACCTTGACTGCCATGCTGAGCTATGACTCAATCACACTGTTCTCTCTCAATTTTATGTTGGTAAAACAGATACATGCTGAGCAAATAAGCCGAGAAACTGGACTACATGAAGAAGAATGCGGCATTAAGATTGGAGAAAGACTCATTAACAACCTGCAGTACGTGGACGACACAACCTTGCTTGCTGAAAGTGAAGAGGACTTGAAGCACGTACTGATGAAGATCACAGACCACAGCCTTCAGTATGGATTACACCTCAGCATAAAGAAGACAAAAATTCTCACAACTGGACCAATAAGCAACATCATTACACACAGAGAAAAGATTAAAGTTGTCAAGGATTTCATGTTACCTGGATCTATAATCAACACCCATGGAAGCAGCAGTCAAGAAATTAAACAATATACTTCATTGGACATATTTGCTGCACAAGACCTCTTTAAAATTTTGAAAAACAAAGATGTCACTTTGAGGACTAAGATGACCCAAGCCATGGTGTTTTCAATCACCTCATATGCATGTGAAAGCTGGACAGTGAATGAGGAAAACCGAAGAAGAATCAATGCTTTTGAATTATGGTGTTGGTGAAGAAATTGAATGTACCAAGGACTGCCAGAAGAACAAAATCTGTCCAAGAAACTCTGCCTTGGAAAAAGTACAGCCAGAATCCTCCTTGGAAACAAGGATGGTGAGACTTTGTCTCACATACTTTGGACATGTTATCAGGAGGGACCAGTCCCTAGAGAAGGACATCATGCTTGGTAAAGTAGAGGGTCAGCGAAAAAGAGAAGGACCCTCAGAGAGATGGATTGACACAGTGGCTGCAACAATGGGATCAAACATAACAACGATTGTGAGGATGGCGCAGGACAGGGCAGTGTTTTGTTCTGTTGTACACGGGGTCGCTGTGAGTGGGAACTGACTCAATGGCACCTAACAGCCACAACAAAATATATATAACAAAACTTTTGCCATTTTAACCTTTTTAAGTGTACGATTCAGTGACATTAATTACATTCACCATGTTGTACAATCATCACCATCATCCATTTCCACATGTTTTTGGTCACCCCGAACAGAAATTCATTCCCTGTCAACAATAACTCCCCATTCCCCCGCTCCACTCACCCCTAGTACCCACTAAAAAACTTTGGTCTCATGCATTTGCCTATTTTAGATATTGCATATAAATGGAATTGTACGATATTTGCCCTTTTGTGACTGACTTATTTCACTCAGGAGCCCTGGTGCTTCAGTGGTTAAAAAGCTTGGTTGCTCACCAAAAGGTCGGCAGTTCAAATTCACCAGCCACTCCTTGGAAGCCCTGCGGGGCAGTTGTACGCTGCCCTGTAGGGTCGCTACGAGTTGGGATCGACTCGACGGCAACCGGTTTGGTTTGGTTTTTGGTGATTTCACTCAGCATAAAATGTTTAAGGTCCATCCGTGTTGTACTGTGGATCGGGACATCGTTTCTCTTTCTGGCTTAGTAATAGCCCATTGTGGGGACGGACCACATGCTGTTGATCCATTAATTCATCGATGGACACTTGGGTTGTTTCCACCTTTTGGCTATTGTGAATAGTGCTACAGTGAACATTTGTGGATGAGTTTTTGTGTGGATATGTGTTGTCATTTCCCTTGGGTCTATACCTAAGAGTGGAATTGCTGGGTCATATGGAAACTCTATGTTTAACTTTTTGAGGAACTGCCAGACCGTTTTCAAAGCAGCTGCACCATTTTGCCTTCCCACCAGCCATGCTAAGACATCGATGAACCTTGAAAACATGCTCAGTGGAGAAGCCAGTCACAAAAGGCCACGTATTGCAGGATCCCACGTATATGAAACAGCCAGAACAGGTAAATCCATAGAGACAGGAAGTGGATCGGGGCTGGGGGGAGGGGGGTGGGGAGTGATTGTTAATGGACATAGAATTTCTCTTTGGGGGGATGGAATGTTCTAGAATTAGAGAGAGGTAAAGATCACCCAACCCTAGATTGCACACTTTGCATGGGTGGATTGTATGATATATGAATTACATCTCAATAAAGCTGCTGTTAAACAAATACACACAGCCACTCACGCTCAGGGCCGCCGACCGGGCATGTGCCGCCACCTCACCGGGCCTGTGCTGGCTCAAGGCCCTGTCCTCACCGTCCTGAAATCCTTACCTATTTTTGAACAAGGGGCCCCAGAAGATCCTCCTGGAGGGGGATCAGGAAGGGAGGGTTAGAGAGGCACGGAGATTTCCTCAGAATCTGCTCCATGCGGGGCTCAGCGTGGAACGTGAATTATTTCATCTTCCGGCCACCCCCTTTCCAGCCCATTCCACGGGGGAGGCACTGAGGCTTGGGCAGGGGACATCACTGTGCAGGGCCCCCCAGGTGCTGGTATCACAGCTCGAAGAGCAGGGAAATGGGCTGGGCCTGGGACACACGGATGCCCCACATCTACACAGGTGTCCCCCATCTCAGCCTTTGGGTCCTGAACCTCAGGTGTCTGCCACACCCCCGTGTGACCTCTTATGCGGGAGGAGGGCGTCGGGGAAACCCCTGAGCCACCACGAAGGCATTCTAGCGTCTGGGTGGACCAGTTACACCTCCTGACCCCAGTGCTATTTAAAGTGTTGCCTGGGGCCCAGGACGGGGCAGTTGGGAGCAGAGGGACAGGGATCAGAGCAATGATGTGTCTTGTGTGAGGCCTTGGGGGGTTGCTGCCCCTCATGGGCCTCAGTTTCCCCACCTGTCAATGACATCTCTCAACCAAGGCTCTGAAGCCCTCGCTGGGCTCACTCTTGGGGCGCAGAGCCCCCGGGGTATGAGGGGGGCAGGTGGGGGTGAGTGCTGCTCTGGGAACACCCCTGGGCTGAAGCCTTGCCTGGTGGTTTCCCTGGGACTTGGGGTGCCACTTCAAATGATGAACAGGTGTCGGTGCAAAGGGCTGCCCCCTCCAGGGCTGCAGAGTAGCTGTGGACGCTGAGCTGGTGCTAGGCATCACCGAGTCGCTGTCAGCCGGCCATTGGCCCATCGACACATCCACAAACACCCATCCAGCTGCCCCAATATCTGTCCACACACCCACCCCCAACCATTCATCTGCGCATCCTCCCACCCGCCCCCCACTCTCCCCAGACAGGCAGACACAAGTCCCAGCACCATAGAACCTTGGTCTCAGTCTCGTACCCCTGGGCATCCCCACCTCTCCGTCAGTCTGTCTCTCTTATTCTCTGTCTCTCCCTGTTGCTGTCTCTCTGTCTCTGTCTCCCGCAATCTCTTGGTATCTCTACCTCCCTGTCTGTGTCTCTGCCTATCTCTGTCTCTGTTTCTCTGTCTCTGTATCTGTGTCTCTTACTATCTCTCTCTGTCTCTGTCTCCCTGTCTCTCTTGTTTCTGTCTCTTCGTATCTCTCTGTGTCT